AAAAAATCATTTTTTTGCAATAGTGTGAATTGGTGTATGCATCGCTTTGTGACTTGGGCTTTGCAATATTGCTTCACATGGCTTGGGCCCCCGATGGGATTTGTTGGTGCACGTTGACATGGACTGCAATGTGATCTTCATTGCAAACTGGGCTTGGCTTGTAACGAGAGGAACACTACCGTGAAAACCGACGGGGGATCACAACTAGAATCTACAACTTCTTCCGCGGTGACGCAGGATTCTCTTCTAATATTGTAATATTGTAGCATTCAACATTTAGTATAAACTTTTTCTACCAAATGTCTCTTTGCGAGGATTCCCATATACTAAGACTAGTTGTAGTATTATATCCCCTACAACTAAAAAGAATAAAGTGTGGATATTTTTTGGTACGACATTTGTTTTGGTTCGTCCGTTTGCCCACGCATGCGATCCCATGACATCTTAATTACTGATTGATCGTGCCATTCTCGTTTATTGAATATTGTCTGTCATGTGATAGAGGAATCACGGCAAAATAGGAAATAGAAAATTATTGTGCTATCCATATACACATTGCATGTTTGCATGCACCAGCATACATGGCAACGAGCAAAAGGAAAGAGAATTAACACAAAAGAAAAGAGAATTAAGACAAAAGGAACCTCTTTGCATTTCTGAGAACCTTGCCAAATCTGCCTACATTTAATTACTTCCCCTCTTTGCATTTGCAAAAAGGACAACTTTTTCCTCCTTTCATTTGGTTTTACGCTCATGTGTTCCATCGCCCTCGCTTGCTGTTTCTTGCGTGAACCATAGTTGATGTCATCTGTCTTCCATGGCTCAGCCTCCCGGCCAATCCCAAGAGAAGGTCCCTACCTCTCCCTGACCAGAGATCCGGCCTGCCAGAGAATCTCCTCGAGTCCATCGGGCAGCGTCTCGCGTCAGGCCACGACGTGGCGTCCTTCCGATCCGCTTGTTCCCCATGGCGCGCCGCCGTCTCGTTCGCGACCTTCGGGCCGCTCCCCATGGCCCGACGTGCTCCTCATGGCCCGACATGCGCGGCAAGGTGGCGTGCGGCTCCTCGCGTGGGTGGCTGGCGCTCATGGATGAGGCGGCGTCCGTGACGCTGCTGAATCCATTCGCCGGTGCCCGTGCCCCCCGCGTTGAGCTCCCGCCAGCAGGCGAACACGTCGCGGCGGCGTCCTCATCGGAACGCGTGTCTAGGGTCCACGGCCGGTGGGTCCTCCATCCCACCAACGGCTACGGGGATGCGGATGCCGCAGGCAGAGCCATCAAGCTAGAAGACATGAGGGACTTGTTCTTCCGTGAGATCGTGCTCTCGGCGCCGCCTGACGCCACCGGCCGTGAGTGCGTGGCCATGGCCATGCTTGGGTGCTCCACGGAGGTCGCGTTCTGCCGGGTTGGAGTCGACAGCGTATGGACGCTGCTCGACACCAAACTGGAGTTCTCCGTGGGGTCCATCGTCCACTGACAAGACAAGTTCTTGGCGATCGACTGCACTGGAGAAATCTCCGTCTGCAGCAACAACGCCGCCGGTGCTACTCCAACCGCGACGCTGCTGCCATCGCTATCGCCACCTGCGGGGCTCTGCCATCGCAGCTACCTGCAATCAAACGGTGAGCTGCACATTGTGGGTGCCATGGTGAGAACGTTTCACGAGACACAGAGCTTCACCTACAGCAGCGCGATCTACAAGTGCAACCTCCACGACCGTACGCCGGAGTGGTCCAGGGTGAGGGACATCGGTGATCAGACACTGTTCGTGTCTCAACATTTTAATGAAAGCTTCAGTGGAACAAGTGTATCCAAGTATAAGGAGAACAAACTCTACATGTCTGAGCCATTGTATAGGGATCCATACGACTTGGTCCATCGACTGGAGATCATTGATATTGCTACCGACGCATCCGAAGTGAAGCCCGTCTAGGAAAAGATGCAGGGTTCCGAGGCTCTAGGTTGGATTCGACCCAATCTCTGGAAGCTCTAGAGTTTGTGAGCCTGCGACGCCGCGCACTCCGTGACTGTGTTAAATTCATAAACTTTGCTTTTTGGATTAAATATCACTTTAACGTTGGTATTTAATTTAACAATATTGTTATCTTTTCGTGGGATCCATGTGTTTTTAGTATAAATTGTTAGTTATCCCGTAGCAACGCACGAGCACGCTATCTAGTTACTACTTAAAAACACTAGGAGAACTCTACCATTCTGCTAGTGAATGGTTGTCTGCTTTGCTCGCCGAACAGATATGACAGAGCACAACAACCTTTTTAACACTCACATACCAAAACATTAAGGACCAAGTACGAAGGTTATGGAAACAAGGGCCTAATTACATGAAAACATCTAGGGTCTGTTTGGAATGCGGGATTTTTTCCCCATTCCTACGTTTTTCCTATGAAATTGAACTGATTCCTGTGAAATTCCTGTGCGATTCCTGTGAAATTCCTGCGTTCCAAACAGGCCCTAGGGAAACTAGGCGGAAGTTCTGGGTAAAAGCAATATAAGGTATCAGAAACTAAAATGCCTTATAATTTAGAAGGGAGGGAGTAGCAATGATTCCGTGTACTGTAGTAGCAGTGTATGTCATCTCATTGTGCGTGTGGACATTAGCAGGTCGACGCTATGCCCGATTCCCATTATTCACATGGGCACTGTTTACTTGAGCAACGAATTAGTGTAGTCAAATTGTGATTCAGCTCCAAAGAATTTTAGTTCGAGATTTCATGCATTTATGTTGGGTATATGTATATCTGATCTGCAGTCACCTAATTTTTTTTTTCGAAGTATTGCCTTGAGTGCTTTATGTCAAATCAAGTTCACAATAATAAATTAACCGAGAATATATATTTCAGATGAAAAGCAAAGTGGAACTTAGCTACTGGTTTTCTTAGAGTCCCTGATGATGCTTACCATTTATTTATTTATTGCTTACCATTTATTAATTGATTTAATTGTCAGTGTAATGGTATAGTTGCAACTTGGCTGCGTTCCATCAGGTGTCTGATCCAATCATTTTATAAGGGTGTGTCTAGTTTGACGGAATCACCTCTCATGCTACATGAGGTGGTGTACCATGAGTTCGTCCCACGAATTTTGGTGGAATCAACCTACTCTGTTGGGAAATAGGGATCCCGACAGAGACAGAGTAAGTGGGGAGAGCTCGCTGCAGCTTGACACCCGAGGGTCGAAGGCTTTGCTTAGGAGCTGAGGCCTTCGACTAGCGGTGACACAGACATCGACACGGTGGTCACACGATTACCGAGGCAACAGTTTAGGGTTTCAATCACATAGTTCCTCTCTCCTCTTGGGGGCTGAGCTCCCCATTTTATAGGGTACGTTACAATCTTTCGCAAGTATAGGAATGCCCCTGCGACAGTCACGACATATGCCGGAATATTCCACTCTTCCTCAGATCCTCTCAAGGGTACCTAAATCTTTTTCTCCTACAACCCCTTTCGTTGATGGGCCCTTGTCGGGCTGGTACTTCGGCCCAAGAAGAGGCCTTATTGTTTGGTGGCACCGTTGTGCCGCCGCTAGTGCTACTCCCTTCGATCGGACTTTGTATCTCCATGGCCTTCGCTCAGTCTTCACAGAGCGTCGGCCTTCGCTTGGGCTTGGTGTCTCCGCGGCCTTCGCTCCATCTTCGCAGAGCATCGGCCTTCGCTTGGGCTTCGTGTCTCCGCGGCCTTCGCTTCTTCTTTGCAGAGCGTTGGCCTTCACTTGGGCTTCGTGTCTCCGCGGCCTTTGCTTCTTCTTTGCAGAGCGTCGGCCTTCGCTCCGTCTTCGCAGAGTGTCGGCCTTCGCTTGGGCTTCGTATCTCCGTGGCCTTCGCTTCTTCTTTGCAGAGCGTCGGCCTTCGCTTGGGCTTGGTGTCTCTGTGGCCTTTGCTAATTTCACAAGCTACTACGCCAACTCCTATTGGGCCTCTTCAAGGGGGAGTTGGTCCATATTCTATATGGGCTCCCCAACACACTCTTCATACATATATACTAAGGGTCTGCTTGACACAGCTTACAACAGCTTCATGAGATGTTGTGAGATATTTTTTTTGTCAAACACTCATTTCCAAAACAGATTCATGGGTGAAGCTGTTTTTCTCCTCCTCTCACGAAGACATGAGTTGAGATGAAGCTGAAAATAGTAGCTTATCCTAACTCTCTCCCTTATGAGCTATCGGTGAAGCTATTTTGTTAAACATTTTTTCCAAAACAGCTCAGCGTCACAAAAAAAGCTACTTGTGAAGTTGTTTTCTAAAAAAACAGGTCCTAATTATTATCTCGTGAGGAATAAGGTGGTGGTGATAGATGAACCCATTACATTTCACAAAACAAACAAAAAAGAAAAGTGCAGGAGTGATGAAGATGATGGGTCACCTCATTTAAAACCAAACACATCCTAAGTAAGTTTATTGCCAGTTGATTTATTTTGCAAATTAAACATTATACTGCAAACAGTTGGCATCTGGCAGGGGATCGGAGGGAAGGATGAAAACTATAGTTATATCCATACGCTGAAACTAAAGATCATCATACTGCCCAGAGGAAACTCATTAATTGCCGATGCTATTTATTGATAAGGATAAAATCTGACATTATTATCGGTCCAACAATTAATATAGTTATTATATTGTCTATATATTATATATTGTGCTTTGTGGAGCACCAGGCCATATGCCACGTACAACATACATGCATATATATAGGTAAGTACTTTATTATTTGTTCATATGGCCTGTATGCAGTAGTAACGATGATAAGACGACAGACTCTCCGGTGTAGCAGGTACTACTAGGTAGACGTCATGCCCTGCTGCATGCGTCGTTGCTGAAGACGACGACGACGACGATCATATACATACAACAGCATTATTTACTTATATATTACGCGACACAACTCACAGTCTATATATGTAATAAGGATAATAATATTAATTGCATACGCCGCATGCACTGCTAGCTGTATGCGTGGCTGCATGCGATACGAACGTATCAGTGCCTAGGCGAGGTTGCTGCTGCAATTGGTGCTGTACCCCGGATCGACCATGATTTGGATCACTTCCGTGGCGCTGGCACCGTTGGATCCAGTGACTTGGCAGACACACTGTGCGACTCGGGTCATACCGCCCTCCCGTCGCAGAACATCGAGTACTCGACTGATCTGCACAAAGAAATCAGTTTCCAGGATGTTTGGGCTAATCCCTTTTAGCAGAACAAGCATGCCGGGGCACGTGGACGTCTGGGCTAGCGTGGAAGCCGCCATGAACAGGAGAATGGCGGTGGCGAGGAGCGACCACAGGGCAGCAGCGGACCACGGTTTGATGCTGGAGGCCATTGTTGCTAGCTAATTGCTATATATATATGCCTGCTCGATCGATTGCTACTAGCTGTGCGTCTGCTTGAAGCTATCAGCCATATGGGGGTGCTGTATTTATAGGCGCTCAGCTCCATGCATTACTGGCCGCGCATGTACGTATACCTATATAAGAATAAGAATATATGTGTACTAGGTATATACGTATTTTGCATGGACTGTATACACCCACGTCGTAAGTGTACTAGCTAGGTACCGTTATTGCATTGATTGCATGCAGCAGCACATCAGTGATGATATGTGATGACCATGCATTGGCCGCTCCACGGATCTTGACAATTTGGGGCCCCTGTCAAGACTTCCTTGTTTATTAAACATTAATGCTGCTGTGTGTACAGAACTAGAGATGCTACTCTACTGTATATATTTCGTACGTTATTGGGAGTCGAATTACATTTGCCTGTTGCTGCTGGCCATTTCTTATTCTTGGCGGACACCTAAGCCAAGCGTCGTCATTTCTCCTTTCTCTGATTTTTCCTTCTGTTTTGTTTTATGAGAGAGGCGATATATATGTGGTCGAGCCAGGGAGTATATGATACTATACCGGCAAGGGAGGGGGTGGGCACTGCTACATTTATGAGCTTAAACCTCTATTATGTATCACTGGTTTTGACTCCTTGACGGTGAAAATTGTTGATGATAAAAATAATGGTTATCACCGCGGGCAGTGACAGGGGTTTTCCATAAACCTGAAAATTGGGCAAAAAAATATCAAAAAAATGTTTTAAACCCGGAAAGCCCCATAAGTCATGTTGTTTTTTATGCCAAAGTACACGCGCGATGCGCCGGCAGGATCCGTATCTAAGACCCGTGGCCTTGCACATATATAGCTTTTCTAACCACTCCACCCAAAGTCACTTGTGGTAAAGACATATAGTCACCTCATGTTCACTTTTCTAGATTTCAAAATTAATATTTTGGACCCTAAATGAATTCAAGTGAAAAATGTTCTAACCGGAAAGTTGTAGATAAAGGTTAACCTAAATAATAACATGTACATGATTCGGCACTTGGCCTGGCCCTCCAATGATCACCTGGTTCTTCCCCCACACTAAAAGATATTACTTCCTCAATTCCAAACCGTAAGACGTCTTTTGTTTTTTTAGATACATATATTTTACTATGTATCTAGGCATAGCATATATCTAGGTGTATAGCAAAAGTTATGCTTCTAGAAAATTAAGAACGTCTTAAAATTTGCAACGGAGGAAGTACTATTTTGTAGGTAGTTGTGTTACATTTTGCCTGGCATCTGGCCAGTTATATTTCATTGTCGACCAGCTAAATCTTCAAGTGCCATTTTTCATGTCAGGTTTTTCTTCTATTAATTTTGTCTTACGATTGAGGCCCCGAGCAAGCTAGGGAGAGCATAATATATATTGTGCCAGGCAATATGCGACTTTGTCTCACACACAGTCATCTCATGTACCAGAGGGCATACTTTGTCCCTCGGTGCTCCAACTTCTGCTACTGAAAAATGTTTCCATCGGAAGAACCCTTTTTTTTTTCTACAAGTGGCTCCATAAAAAACGACCTTCTCTATATATAGGTGGCTTAAAAAATCGCCTCTAAAATTCATTTTTTCGAGATAGTTGGTCAAATACATGGCTGTATTTTTAGAGCGACTAAGAACATCATCTATCTTCAGAAAGCAGTTTTATTGTAGTGTCCTCCGGCCGGTCCTGGTCATGCCTCTCCGGCAGATAATATCTATCGTACGTACATACAATGTGCTTATCTAAGGAGCCGAGCCCTAACCCATTTTCTACGTAGCTACCTAGAGCCTACCTACTTTGCATGGACATGTGGACATATATACAATACACACATATATGTAGGACGCTTGGCAGCCGCTGATCTTGACAATTGGGGCCAAATTTAGAGGACGTAATTTGGACTTTTTTCTATATAATATAATCTAATATATACAAGGAGATGAGAGACCTACGCATTTTCTACTTAGCTAGCCTAGCTAGCTACGTACGTACGTGCATGGACTTGTGTGGGCTGTGTAGACACATATATGTACTAGGTACCGTTGTTGCTTGCTTGCAGCAAAACATATCAGTGACGATATGACTGAGGCTTGGGCGCCGCCAATCTTGACATTTGGCCGCCAATCTTGCACCATGGTTATCACCATCGGTTCGTAATACCAACCGTCGGCGAAAATGATTTTTTACCGCCGGTTGATGACACGAATCGCAGTGAGAATGGGGCGATTTTTACCGCCGGTGGGTGATACAAACCGGCGGCGATGATGAACAGATACGGTAGAGGGCAACAACTTATGATTTTTGAAGACATATATGTTAAGTAGTGAGTACAGATGTTAGGGAAATAAGTCTCTGGTTACATAAAAACATCAACCGAGGAACTAGGCGAAAGTTTTAGACGACCTCAGGAAATAGGAAATGTTTGAGTGAGTTTTGGACTATGTGTAAAAACAGTCAATGATGTCAATACATCAGCGACACGTTTAAACAAACATGTCTCTAATGACCCTTCATCAGAGACTCTTATAGCCAACAACATGTCTAAGAGTCTCTAATGACACTACTACAAAACGTTGATCACAGCCTGTTCCAAACCCTCCTTCACCGACTGTTTTGGCCATCGTTGGTGATATCTTGGGTGATCAACGCCGGCCGTTAGGCTGGCGGTGGTATTATTGTTCATCATCACCGGATCAGTGTACAATACGACATGTTATCGCTTACCTTCACCGCCGCCTCATAGCTCGATTCGGCGGCAATTGGTCGCGTACCATCGCCCGTTTTGCGGATGGTCCGGTGCTGATGACGACGGAGACAACAATGTCGTGTGGGCATACTGTAACACCCTAAAAAAATTGACCTAGTTTGAAAATCACTAAAAATTTGAACTTTTAAAATATTGCCTAAGAGATAGCATATATAACCAACCTAGATAATTCGAATTTAAAATCATGCATTCAAATTTGAGCTGGGAAAAAGAAAAAGAAAAAGAAAATGGATAAAGCCACTTGGGCTCAATCTCTCCCCTCTCTCCCTCTTGGCCCACCGCAGCAGCCCAACCCCTTCCCCTCTTCCTTCCCTTCTCCCGCGTGAGCCGGCTCAGCAACGCCGCAGCGGCCGTGGCCCAGCGCCCGGCCCAGCTCGCCCACGCCCTTCCCTTCTCCCCTCTTCCTCCTGTTGACACCTAGGCCCCTCCCATCAGCTCTGTTGTCAACCTCGCTGTCGGCAGCCGTACGCGGCGCAGCCCGCACATCAACGCCCCCAGCGCCACCCCGGTGCCAGCGAATGTCAACGGCGACATGACAGGACCCACGTCGCCCTCCTTCCTCCTCCTCTCCTCTCTTCCCCCTCACTATGAACTCGTCAAAGCCAGCCCCATGGTCGCCTCCGTGCTGAGCGACCGGAGTAGCCGCCAAGGCACCTCACCGTGCACATGGGCAAGCTCTAGCCATGGCGATGTGACCTAACGAGGTGAACAGCGCGCCCGCATGGTGGATAAGCACGGCCACAAGAAATATCTCGCCGCCGGGACACCGGCCTAGCCAGCCTATAAATAGGCCCGACCGGCGATGCTCTCGCCTCGCCCTCTCCACCATCCGCTCCATCGAGGACGGGAACACCTCATCTCCCCTACTCTTCCCCTTCCCCGTCCTCCTCTCCACTTTCTTCCATTTTCCCCAATTTGGGAGTTCACCGGCGCCATCAGCGTCGCCCTCTCTCATCTCCTTCTCCGCTGCGTCCCTGGCTGATCGGAGTGACCGGTGAGCCCCCAAGTTTCTCCTTTTCTGTTTTCCATAGCTAGTTGATGATCTAGGTCTCTGTGTTGCGCTGCCCGCGTGCTACCCGCTTCGCCGAGCCGCCATGGCCGTCGGCCATCATCGGCAAGGCCACCCTAGGGCACACCACCACCACCACTACAGTCTCACCCACCCGCACGCACGTACACATAGTTAGTTGGTTAGAATAGGGCCTCTAAGGCCGAGTCCATCACCCAGCGCCGCCGCGACCCCTCCAGCGAGCTGCCACCACCGCCGTGGACTGTCGTCGGAGATTCCGTCGGAGAGTTAGAAATGCACCTTCCTAGCTTAGAAAAATTCCTAGAAAATTTGTAAATAAACTAGATGCATTAGGGAATTTAGTCATGAAGTTTACACATATTTTCGTGCACTAGAAAATGCATATAAAATTCCACCTAGTTAAATAACTATAGGATAAACTTCTAAAATATATAACTTTTAAACCCTAACTCCTTTTCGCATGCAACCACCTCTAAAATTCATCTAAAATCCAACACTATCATTTGCACCTAGTGCCACCATATAGTTGTATGTTGCTTTTGCCCTTTTCTTTTGTGGTTAGCGGTAGTCTTATTTCGATCGATATGCCAACAGACAATGATAATCGTTAGGAGGACGAGGACCCAAATTTCGTAGATGTGCCGGAAGGTGACAACAATCAAGGCAAGTCCTAGCTCCCCTCTCTACCATCTTGCTTTAAACCACTGTAACACTAAAACATGACTAAGATTATTATCCTAGAATATGAGCTCGGTTAATGTGATATGCTTAAGATAAATGGTTATCTTGTTATGATCTCCACGTAATGATTAGATTTAGGGATAATTATGGAACTTAAATCTTGTTAAACCTAAAACTAAACCCCGACATGGGGCGAGTGGTGGTAAACTATATATGGAGGTAGTTTACCATGGAAGGGATGGCTAGAAAGGATTTCTGTGGAGATACTTGCCTCGGTCACATAAGGACCAGTTCGTAGTCCCTCTTGCCTAGTGAGTTATTTCGTACAGCCACATGTCTATATGGGTAGGCTTGATCTCACACCCCGTTAGATAGAAGTATAACTTCTACTAGGAGGCCGGTGTAGTCAGCGGAATATCAGAAGCCAACACGGAGATATGTTTTCTTCCGTGGTCCGATTGGCATGGATGCTATGTGATCTTGCACG